GGAGAGATGGCTCAGTGGTTAAGAGCACTGACTGCTCTTGCAGAGGACCTGGGTTTGATTCCCAGCACCCACATGGTAGCTACAAACTGTTCTTAACTCCAGTTCCAGGGAAATGTGAAGCCCTCTTCTGACCTCCGTGGCATTGCATGACACGGGTGTACTCACATGCATGCAGGCAATATACTCATACACATAAAAATAATAAATAAAATATTTTAAAAAATATTAATTGAAACTACTGCCTCAGTCAAGACAGTGAACACATCCATTTCCTGCAAAGCTTTCTCCACCCAAGAGCACTTCTGTGCTGTCCTCTCACGGAAGAGCAATGAGTCTGCTCTCCCATTTTTGATCTTACAGATAGCAGGTGACTCCTAATGGAATCAGCTTTCAGATAGAGAGTTGAAGGGGTGAAATTCTCACAGGGAAGGCCAGAGATGGGAGGGAGGCAAGAGGGTTTTATTTCTAAGAGCCAGAAGAATATCTTCACAGGCACAAAATACTAAAAAGAAGGGGTGTTTTATTGTAAGAAGTGAAGATATTAATCAAACAGGAAAATTAAAAATTCATTCAACTTGTCAGTAAATGTCCATTGAGTAATTACACTATTCCATGTACTGTCGAGAAAGGGCAGGTGGCATGGCTGAATCAAGAGGTTAAGCCCTGGTTACAGTTGCCCCGGCCACGCCAGTGAGTTCAGAACCCCGTCAGTGTTTTCCACGGATGCTGTGAAGATTATTTTAAGCAGAACACAGAGGAACCAGTGAAACACGTGAAATAACTGCACATTTTACCAATGTAATTTTTAAAAACTCTATATGACTAGCACCTTAAAGACAAGCCTCTAAGCTCTTTTAAGATTTAGTGAGTATATAATAATCAGATAAAAATATTAAGTATAATGTGGAATAGGAATTCCACTAAAATCATGAATTGGGTATACACTTGGGGAAATGTTTCCCAAGACAATAAAGAACCCTCAGTTGCTGGTCCCTAGCATCTTTGGTGTCAGAGAGTCCTTTGATACTCTGCTGTCAAATGTCTCAAGGAGACAGACTGAGACAAGTACACAGAAGCTCTGGGCTTACTGTAAAATAAAATTCTCATAACCAATCAGCATCAAGCTGGGCCTGGTGGTGCATGCCCATGATCTGTCTCTGGAGGCCAAAGCACAAGAACTGCCACAAGTTTGAGGCCAGCCTGGTCCACAAAGTGAGGTCCAGGCAAGCCTGGCCTACATAGTGAACTCCAGGACAGCCAGAACTGCAGAGTGAGACCCTGTCTCAAAAAAATCCAAAAGTTAGTATCACAATATCAAAGCATTTGGAAGTATGTTTCTGAGCTTAAAGGACCTTTAACAAGCTGTTTTATATAGACTCTCAAGTGATTTGTGTCTGCCAAACCCTGTGCTCGCTGCTAGAGGAATAACACTAGGCAATCTGTCTATTCCCAAAACTTCATCTCTCACTTACTCCTAGAGAGGGCCACACACTCCAGATCAACTTCTATGGCTCCTTCTTTTAAGGTTGTAGTGTCGATCTTGTTAGGCTCTGCTCCTGCAGTGTAAAAGTAGCCAGAGACAGCACAGCAATGCATGGGTGGGGCTATGCTCCAGTAAAACTTTATTTTCAAAGGCATGTGACAAGCCCAGATTGATCTGTGGATCATAGTTTAAAATTCCTGGCTTACATGGATGTCTTTTAGGAAGATCAGTGCCCAGTCAACTTCATGGAGCTCGCCATCCATTAAAAACATAAGCCTGTGGCGTTGTGAGGTCCTTATCCATGAAAAGTTCAATCCATGAAAAAGTTCAAGAAAATAATCTCCACATTCCATTTGACAGCTCTGGCTGGGGAAGCAGAGGGCTCTGCTGAGGTCCCCAAGGTCCTTTCCAGTTCTGCAGCTCTGAGGCAAGCAAGCTGCCCAGTTCAGGCTGAGCAAGTTTCCTCCTATCCACTGTCCCCTGGCAGCTACTTTCCTGTGACTTTTGTGATTTTCACTCAGTTTAGCATTTTACTACCGGTCTTTTCAATGTTTTCTTCTTTGCAGTCCTCTGACATTGTGTCTGCTATGCTGATCGTCTAATTCTATGTGGGCAGGCCTTCTTATCTCATGAATAAGCACTGGTTTTCTTGTGAGACATACTGAAAGTCTATTTATAAATTTCTCCTCTTTTTCCTTTTTTAGATCTGTTTTCTCATCCAGCTAGTTTTAACGGGCTCCGGAAATACCCTCTCCTTTTCAATGTGTCTATCCCTCACCACGAAGAGGTCATTATGGCTGAACTTAGGTTGTACACGCTGGTTCAAAGAGATCGCATGATGTATGATGGTGTGGACCGGAAAATTACCATTTCTGAAGTCCTAGAGAGCAAAGAGGCTGACAAGGGTGGAAGGAACACGCTGGTCTTAGCATCAACTGAGATCTACGGAATCAACAGCGAGTGGGAGGCATTTGATGTCACGGATGCCATCAGACGTTGGCAAAAGTCAGGCTCATCTACCCATCGACTGGAGGTCCACATCGAGAGCAGACAAGACCAAGTTGAAGATGCTGGAAGGGGACAACTGGAAATAGACACCAGTGCCCAGAATAAGCACGACCCTTTGCTTGTTGTGTTTTCTGATGACCAAAGTAGTGAGAAGGAGCGGAAGGAGGAACTGAATGAAATGATCGTCCACGAACAGGACCTGGACCTGGGCATGGGTGGTTTCTCCAGTGGACCTGGGGAAGAGGCTTTGCTGCAGATGAGGTCCAACATGATCTATGACTCCACTGCTCGAATCAGGAGGAACGCCAAGGGAAACTACTGCAAGAGGACCCCGCTCTACATCGACTTCAAGGAGATTGGCTGGGACTCCTGGATCATTGCTCCACCCGGGTACGAAGCCTATGAATGCCGTGGTGTCTGTAACTACCCCCTGGCAGAGCACCTCACACCCACAAAGCACGCAATTATCCAGGCCTTACTCCACCTCAAGAATTCCCAGAAAGCTTCCAAAGCCTGCTGTGTGCCCACAAAGCTGGAGCCCATTTCCATCCTCTATTTAGATAAAGGTGTTGTTACCTACAAGTTTAAATATGAAGGCATGGCTGTGTCTGAATGTGGCTGTAGATAGAAGAAAGATTCGTGGCTTATTTAATAACTGTAAATGTGTATATTTTGTGTTCTATTTAATGAGACTATTTAATGAAGGTGTACAGATAATAGAGGCTTGCTACCTTAGGGAAATAGGTCAGTGTGTTGTAGAAAATGTGTATTGTGTGTGCAATCCAGTCCCTTTCATTCTGTTTTTCTTTGGACTTTCATTTCCTGGTGATGCTGTCTCTAAGCACAAAAGGCAGGGCCATACTACTTATTCTCTTTGTCACTTTGGAAAGAGCCACCCCTAAACAAAATACATCATCAACACACAGATATTGGTGCATGTTCGTGTGTGTGTGTGTGTGTGTGTGTGTGTGTGTGTGTGTACACAAACTTATGAACATCTTTTTGCTCAAAGGAGGCAGGCTATATTCATGCACATGAGTGGCTTCCTCCAATGTGTTTATGTTATAGGATATGGGATTTAGGTTAAGAAAATTTACATCAAGAATTTTACCATCCTGGGAAGCATATTTCCCATTCATTCTGGGAGTGTCAGTGTAGCTTTTTCAGCTGTTTCTGCCATGGTTCAGAGTAGCTGGCTTGATGAGCAGGATGGAGGCCTGAGGTGGGGCTGTTAGATACAGGAAACAAACAGCCTTGACAGGCAGTGGTGCCAGTGATTCTCTTAAAAGAATGGGTCTTCTGGACGTGTGCTCCAGAGGGCAGTGCCTAGTCAAGAAAGAATGACAGAGGGGACTTCAGTGCCCCCGTCCCTCAGTTAACAAGAGGCAATGCCCCATGCGCCAGCCTTTGCCTCTGCAGAGGGTCTTGGAGGTGGAGGGGGGAGGGAAGGGCATAGACACTCTCTTCAGACGATGTCCCTCAGTTAACAAGGGGCAATGCCCCATGCGCCAGCCTTTGCCTCTGCAGAGAGTCTTGGAGGTGGAGGGGGGAGGGAAGGGCATAGACACTCTCTTCAGACGATGATAAAATTGTCAAAGTTCTAATGGAATAAATCTTTGGATAAAATAAAATGATCCAAGACCAAGATGGCATTTAGAAGAGATATGTTTGCTGAACCCCACTGAAAATATTCTTCACTTCATAATCCCCCTCCCCTCCTGCCCCCTCTATGCTCTTTTCCATATTTCTTCTCTTGAGCTTCCTGGCGGTTGTCCTCTCCACCTGCTCCCATTGTCTTGTCCTTCATTATCCATGATAAGGGCTGAGATGAGGCACCTAGATGTGAAATCAGCGATCTGATTTCTAGACTTACTCTGGAAATTTAACTTGATTTGACTTTAATAATATCCTTTATGGTGTTTTAATGAAGAATACATAAATATAAGAAGACCAGAGTCCTAATGTATACATTGAAGTTCATGAATTAGGAGTGACGTGAAAACAAATGGCTTGAACTTGAAGTCAGCTTTGCTCCATGGGAGAAGTCCTGAAGTGTGCCCATTCTTCCTATTCTGCCGTCGTTCCCCTTTGAAACTGTGCAGCATGAAGGAACTGGGGAGTGCTGACAGGAATGGTCTGCAAGTCAGTGGGTCTGCCGACCACCTGGAGATGCCGGCTTTGGTCTTAGCGCCCCCTTAGGATCCTGGACTTTGTCCAGAGTCATGTCCGCATCTCCAGGCACCTATACACTCACTCTAGAATTGGGAGTGTAGCTTCTGGTACATTGTCCAACCCCATGTTGAACACTTCCTCAAGAAGTCTTCAACTTTTTTTAAAACCTCTGGGTTAGCTATCAGCTTCCTTTTCATAAACTTCTTAGGGTCATACATTCAGATTGTTCTAGCAAGGAAAACAGCTTTTCGACTTCAGATTTCAACTTTCTATATATCTAGTCAACCCTGGTTCCAAAAGGGAAAATCCTGGAGAACGTGTTGCTCTGGAAGAAAGATCTTTTGATCATCACTGGGAATACTCTGAGATGACTGTTTAACTCATAACCACTCATATCAGCCTCTTTACAACACGGTGGGTTTGAGTGCATGCATGAACCTGTGTGTGCTTTGGATAGCCATGCTAGCACCCTCTGAGGAAGATGGTGCATCCTTTGCACTCCATGGTACACCTCACATTCTCACGTATTCCACGGTACTTCTGATCCTTTCTCAAGGACACCATCATAGGTACACAGTAAAATCTCAGCTTAGCACAATAGTTTCTTGTAAATTTTTGTTGTTTCGTGTTTAATATAAGACAGTGATGCACTAGCAAATGCTTCACAAACAACCCAGGGTGGGATGAAGCTGTGTTTTGTAATTTCAATGGCTTGAATGTATTGTCTGATGTCAACTGGCTTAATATGCTCTGTGAAAACATGGCAGTCAGGTCCTTGGAGCATCATGCTGTCTGACCACAGAACACTGTGCCATTAGCACGCAGATACTACAAGTCTCAGCTGCTCTGTCCCTCCAAGCCCCTGCTGCTCGCCTTGGCTGGCTCCTGGAGAAACCTGGCTGACTGTTGAAGAGAGGTGACAGTCAAGGTTGTTCCTAGGGTGTTCCTAGGTTCACTGTCATTATTGTCATTAATTTTTCTTTCTTATCAAACAGTAAAATGACAAAAACCGTAAATAGCACCATTCTTTTCCCTTCTCCAGCAGTTCCCCTGCAACTCCTCCATGTCAGTGCATTAATACAAAGCCACAGACTGGGTAGATTTTCAGGAAATTAAAACTTACTAATGCACTTTTTGGTAACAGATGCTCCATACCAGTCTTTATTTCTCTTTCTTTTTTATGCTTTAGTGGGACATTAATAAATCTAAGAAGTCTTGGGAAAAATTTAAGACACACTCGGGCAGCCCACCACTAACATAGTCATGTAAAAGTGTCTAGGCTTCTTACTATTTATTGACATATTTATTTTTGTAATATAGTGTAGAATATTAAATATTTTATTTTTATGTGTGTGAGTCCTTCTTGGGTAGAACACCCTCTCTACGGTCTAAATTGTGCTGTTCCCTGGAGTGTGGCTCGTTTAGAATATGCACCTGTTTATTCACCTCTTCTTTCTGCATCAAAATTTCCTGTTATTTTAAGGAGTCAGTCATAGTTTTGTATATTTGTGTCTTCTGGGTATGTTGTGAGCCCTTTGTGCATTTATTGATTTGCAAATAGCATAGTTTTAACTGAAGTATGGATGTTGCAGAACATATTTAGTCAATAAATACCATGCCATTGCATAAGTCAACACGGTTGCTTTATCATGAGAGATAATCTTTGTCCAGCCATTAAAGAATATGATGGCTACTCAGTTAAAGGAGGTAGTATTTAATTGGATCCCCTGAAGCAGAAGCTTCCCCTCTGAAAAATCTCATTGCTTTCCCGGATCCGCTGATTCACAAATACAAATATTCCATGTAAAAGTCAAAAGTATTGATTTACTGATTCCTTGAAGCATCATCCTCAAGTGCCAGAAACTTTTCCAGTGTATAATTTTTAGTCTGGGTAATTTAATGAAGACATATTTGAATGATTCCTAAAGGTTTAGCATTCTTTATAATGTATATTCTTTAAGTAAAACATATGTTCATATAAAAGAATTTGAATCTTAATTCTTACTAAGTTCATAAAGTGTACCAGTGTTTTGGCAAAAATCTCTTATCATTTATGTGCAGTACAGATGGGATACTGCTGTTTTTAAGCACTGCAGGTCGTCTTCAGACATTCAGCCTTACACAGCCCTCTGTAGTTCTATAAGCTCCTGTGTGGTGGAAAAAGAAACACTGGGTCTCTGTATATTTTCTTGTCCTCAAACAAAGGCATTTGATTTTACAAATTCAATGGAAGGAAAGGAAGTAACTTTACAACTGCAGAAAAAAGGATCTTTCCACATGTGGAAATGTATCTACACATTAACTACCCCATAGAGGATGACACTTTGCAGTGATCAGTATGTTTCCTTTTCCCATGAGCACTGCTGTTTGTGAGCTCCTAGCCCAATTGCAGCGAGGAGATTGATGCTAGCTAACACTTGCCTAACATGTTGCAAAGCAGCAGGGAAATTAGTTCGTACCTGGACATGCAGAATCAGCAAAGCACAGCCACGTTCTTGTGTAAAGCATGTTCATTATTCAATCCAAATCTATTAGAAATTAGACTAAAATGGTGGAAATAAATATTTTACACTGTGTTCATTAAACAAATTTGTATGTTTAGAGTCATCTTGTTAAATAAAATGGAAAAATTATTTTGACAGTAATTACTGGCAGTTTATTTTTCTTTGAGATGAAATCTCCCCTCTCTCTCTGTCTCTGTCTCTCTTTCTCTCTCTCTCTCCTCTCCCCTCTGCTTTCATCTTTTTATACTACTACATCACAGTATACTTAGATGGAATAAAACTTCTCACTTTGTTAGGAGGAAAAGGTTCAAAGAAGTGAAAAGCTGCACTGAACTTCTGTTTTTATATGGTCTTCATTTTATATGATTTTGGATAAATTCCATGAAAGCCAGAAACATACAAGGAAAACGAAGTGGGCTCCTCTTTGTCAATAACTGGAAAAATATTTCTTTGAATTCTGAATGACATATATTAAAGAGAAATTGCCCTGGAAAGATGCTCAGGTTACATTTGACTGATCTTTGATTACTGAATTTCATAGAATCTAGGTTTAAGAAGGGGTCCTTAAAAGCTACCTAGTCTGCCCAATCTCTTGCTAGATGTCAAAATATGTTTCATCTTCTCTGTAAATTTTAGTCATAAGATAGGAACTTCATACCACCTTAAGGGACTCACTTACCTGTACTTAGTTTTAAGGAATAGTTTGGGTCATTATGTGTGAAAATCACTGGGGAAGCAAAAGAGAAGCAGAAATTTGTTTGCAGTTCTTCTTCATATGGAACAAAAAATAAAGTCTCTCTTGGTGGTTCTCAAGCTGCCCAGCCCATAACTCTTGGGGCCTCACATCCATGTCTACCCTCCATCTTCACAACAGCCCCCTGGTCCTGTCAGCCTGAGCCCACTGTTCCCTGAAATGGTGTGTGCTTTATTTCCAGTGTATTTGGAATCTTAATCTCCAAATTCATGTTAATGGGAGGAGAACGAGTGTTGAAGCTCTGTCCTCCTGGATGGCCCAGTCATGGATTAATTAATGGATTTGTGGATTAATGGCCTAATGACTTCATTTGAGCTCAGTCTGGCACACTTGCTGTAGTCTGCCCTGCTCTCTGGCTTACTGTGATCCAGGAGAAGGCCCTGACCAGATACTGCCTCTAAGCTCTTCAACTTCCTGGCCTCCTGAACTGTGCTGTGGATGAACCTCTCTGTCATAAATGACCTGCTCTCCAGTATTCATTAGAGCCCCAGAAAATCTGCAGTGTCTGTGTGAACATGTGATCAGGCATGTGGCTCCTTTACATGCATGGACATATGTGAAAGGGTAGTACCTGTTCTGGAAGGAAGCACATTCCTGTGTGGGATTTGAAGGGCAGGGAAACAGCCCCTCTCTCTTCAGATAGCCATTTGCCTCTCTTGAGAACTCCAGCATCCTGGCTGGCAGGCTTCACTGGCATGTGCAGCAGAGAGCACAGCCCTTGTCCTTGGATGAGCACCGACAAGGTGAGGCAGAGTTCAGTGCTTGAGGGGAGGGAGCTGAGTACTCCACAAGGGCATAGGCCAGGACTGGACTAAAGAGGCCAGAGAAGCCCTAGGAGAAGTCATAAGACTTGGCTTTGAATTCTTTAACAGTCTATAGATTCTTCTTTAAGTAATTCCATTTATGGGTGCCTCTCATGATGTGGGGCCTGGAACTTTTCTCCACATAGGCTATGACCTGGGCCAAGCCACTCTGGGTTGGCTGCTTATTCTGGAGTATCTTTTC